ATAGAGAGCCTGGTTCTGTGCCCTGCTACATAAAACAGCTTACAAAAATAGAACCGGAAAAAAAAAGGTCGAAATTGAGCCTCCATATATAATGACTTATCATCGATCCTTACTGGTCCCAGGAGACATGCTCTGAGCTGTTTTCTCAGTAAGTGGAAAAAAACTAGCTGCCCTGCAGGCCTGCCTCCTGGGCTCTGCCCCAGGATACACATCTTTCTCTCTAGATGGTTATTTAGCTGTTGATTTGTTCTGACCATATACAGGGGACAGATGTACAGTGATGGTCTGTCACTCTGGCACTAAACAGCCTAGGCAGAGACAGCTTTGTGGATATGTGGCCTGTGAGTCAGTTCATAAGGGCCTCCTCCTTGGTTGAATACTGTTGCTGTGTTAAAATTCTTTATCAGTTTTTCACAAGGAGCCCATATTTTAATTTTGTACTAGGCCCTATGAATTATGTAGTTGGTCTTAGGTCTAGGCCAGGATGGGGTAATCTCATGGGGACAACTTGAAGGACTTGATTGAGTTGGCAATCAACTCCAATGCTCATTGCCACCTTGGAAGTAAGTCTAAAAGTAAACTTATCCTCAAACCAGACTTTGAATGGTTATATTACCAAGTCCCCTGGCAGAGGAACGGTGAGCAAAGAAGGCAGCTGAAGCCCAGGGGGAGATTTGGGGATTAAAGAGTAAGAACTGCCCTCCTTTCATTCCTGGATTCTGAGGTTAACCACCCAACATGATAGCACATGGGACCATCCCTCTCCTTCACTGGATTTCTGGGACATCAGCAAAGGCAGAACAGGCCAAACTGAAGTTTAACAGTGCTCCCAGAGGCCTGCCACGTGGCTGTCCTGCCCACCCAGTTGTTCCACTCAACAGAGGGGCCTCCCTGGAGGCACCAGCTCAAGATCAAGCCTTTGCTAGCCACATAAAGGGCCAATTGTTCTTTCCTAGGCCTATGTTGGAAACACATGGAGAGTTCAGGTAATGCCTGCAAAGGCAGGATGGAAGATATTTCCTAGGCTTGCACACAGGAGAATAATCAACAATCTTCTTGATCAAGCATCTGCTCTCTGCCAGTCTCTTCCATACAGCTTCTTGTTTAATCCCCAAACAGCCTTTTTGGATGACCATCTTTGCATTTTATTACAATTGGAAAAACAGGGTCTGTCATAGTCAGCTTCAGCTGTCGATGTGACACACCTAGAATCACCTGGGAAGAAGGAACTTCATCTGGGGAGTGTCTCCCACCAGATTGGCCTGTGGGCATGTCTGTGAGGGCATTTCCTTGACTGCTAAGATGTAGGCAGGCCCAGCCTACTGTGGGTGATGCTGTTCCTGAGCAGGTGGACCTGGGATGTATAATGTATAGGGAAAGTAGCTGAGCAAGCCAGTAAGCAGTGCTTGCCACGGTCTCTGCTTCAGTTGTTTTAGGCCCTGCCTTGCCTTCTCTCAATGATGCACTGTAACCTGGAAACCAAGTAAACTCTTTCATCCCCCAACTTGCTTTTGGTCAATGTTTTGTCACAATACCAGAAAGGAAACTTAGGATAAGTTTGGTTATTCCTTAGAGCTGAGGATTGTAATGCCTTTTCACTTTATCTAATCCCTAAATCGCAGGTTGTGCGATTGTTGTCGCTGAACCTGATGTGCTTGAGATTTTAATTGATTATGAAGAATGAAATAAAAATGACTAAAATACTGTTTCTACAGAATACAATAGGGACACATCCATTTTTTCTTTTCTCACTTCCTTGAACCTCCATGAATCCTGCCTGGCATTGTTTGAAATTCTTTTGACAGTAACCTCTTTGTTGCTGGTTGACACGGTCAGGAATCTATGGAGGGGACTCCAGATCTTTCCAGGAGGATGGAGATGTCATGAATAGGTTGCTGAGCCAGTTAGCAGAGTATGGAACAAACTTTTAGTAATGAGTCTTCTGGACATTGATTAGAGATGCAGGAAGTGGGACACATCTTTCTGCTGAACTTTACAAACTTCAATACTTGAGCTAATAGATTAAAAAAATGATCAATGTCCTTTGGGACAGTAAAACCATCACCATGAGGTTATGCTTATTAATATAAATCCACAGGTCAACGTAATTTCATAGTGTCAGGCTCTAATCAAACAGCAGGCTATGAAGAGGGCTTAGTGGATAAAGCGCTTGCCCTACAAGCATCAGGACTAGAGTTCAGATTCCCAGAACCCATATAAAGGCTGGGTAGGCATGGTAGCTGCTTGTAAGCCTAGCACTCACGAGGCAGAGACGGGATCCCCTAGGTAAGCTGGATGGCTAGACTAGCCAGAATTCGTAAGCTCCAGATTCAATGAGACCCCACCTCAGTAAATAAAGTGGAAAGCAACCGAGGAAGATACCCAACATCAACTTCAAGCCTTCATATGCATGTACACATGTGCATGTACACCTGCATCTAGATGTGTGCCCACACAGGTGAACAAAAATACACACACACACACACACACACACAAATAATAGAGAGTCAAACCCAGATGCATTTTAGGTAACTGATTATTTCTTAGATGAGTATACCAAACATCAAGGACAGGACATGTAGTCACTTATTTTCAGTTTAGGATACATTCACCTACCTACCTACCTACCTACCTTCCTCCCTTCCTCCCTTCCTTCCTTCCCTCCTTCCCTCCCTCCCTCCCTCCCTCCTTCCTTCCTTTTCTCTCTTTCTAAAAAGGTTTTATTTTTTATGTTTGAGTGTTTTGCCAGCATGTATGCAAGTGTACCACATGAATGCAATCCCTGTAGAGGTCACTATGTACTAGGGTGTCTGGCTGGCCTGATACAAACTCTAGAATGATGTCAAACCCCCCTACCCTACCCCCCAACAGGGTCCCAGGCTGTCCTTGAGCTCACTATGTAGCAAAGGATGACTTTGAAATTCTTATCCCTTGTGGCTACTTCCCTGAGACGATAGGTGTGTGCCACCACGCTTGGTTAATGTGCTAGAATTCAACCTAGGGCTTCATGCAGGCTAGGCAAGCACTCTACTACCTGAGCTCCTTACAGCTCCAAAGCAGATACTGACAACCATCATGACCTGAGTGACAGGTAACTCTTTGCTTTTCTGCTGTGGCCCTCTGACCTTACCATCTGACTCATCCATTCTCATGGTTTGTTGTCACCTCTGGGATAGACCATGCTTGCCCTTTTCCTTCACCTATATGGAATTTCCACTGTCAGTGGCTCTATTCCCTGTAGGCCTCTAGCAAGATTATCTTTCCATCTTTCAGAGCTCAATTAAAGTTCCAAAAGCCTTGATGAAGGATTTTGACCAGGTGTAATCCACACTAATCTTTCTGTTTTGAATTCAAAAGCCTCTATGGGGTGTACCACAGAGCATAGCTTCCTTGGGATTTACTGGGTTTGTTCACGGTGTGGTTTTGGGTGTTGTCCCAACTAGACTGAATTACCTGAAAGAAAAGAACATGGTACCCTCTGAAGCATACAGGTTCAATGTCACTCATCCAAAATGCACAGGACCAGACTGTTTTGGATTTTGCATTTTTGAGTTTTTGCATATATGTAGTGAGATGTCTTGAGGATGGAACCCAACTCTAAAAATCAAAGTCACTTCTGTTTCATATACACCACCTACATATAGCCAGAAGGTAATTCTATACACTATTTTCAATGCATCTGTTTTCTTTTGTTTTTGGTCTTTTTGAGACAGGGTCTCCTTGTAGCCCCAGCTGTCCTGGAACTCACTATGTAGACCAGGCTGGCCTTGAACTCACAAAGATCCACCTGCCTTTGCCTCCCAAGTGCTGGGATTAAAGGTGTGCGCCACCACACCTGGCTATGTTTTCATTGTAACTTGTCACGTGGGTTCAGGTGTGGCAGTTTCCACTTGTGTTGTAAGTCAGTATTCAAAATGTTTCATATTTTTGAGCATTTTGGATCAGAAAGTTCAACCTGTATAATACCACCGGTTACAAGTAGGCTCTGTTTGGGTTTTAATTTTATTTGGCATTTTTGAGACAAGGTCTCTCTGTAGCTCCAGCCAGTTTGAAACTTGCTATGTAGACCAGGCTGGCCTCAGTTTCATAGAGATCCCCTTGCCTCTGCCTCCTGAGTGCTGGGATTCAAGGTATGTGCCACCATGCAACTTGCTTGTGTTTTAATTTTTTCAGTTTTTGAAAGTATTTGGTGGGAATTGAGGGCCTGGTTTGTAATTGAGTCCCTCTGCAAGAATGCCACTTTGTTCCTGCTAAGGTCAACCAGCCTAGGGCCACTTTAAAAATTTTAAACCCAGATTATTTTGATAGTGTAAATTCTCTAGCCCCCTGCTCAGGTGAGGTCGACTGTGGTTATGAATCTGATGTTTCTCAGAAGGAGGGGCTAAAAGAGGAATGGGGATTCACAGAAAGGAAAGGAAGATGTGGGGTTTAGAACTCTTGGATTTAATAGGTTATCTTTGTTGTGAAACTGTCTCAAACTAGCTAACCAGGGATGTGTGGCTTGGTCACAACACCTTGTAGTCTACTGAAATGAACAGGGGATGCTGTGCTGTTCCCATTATACAGAGGCAGAAAATAAAGCCTCAAACACTGAACTGACTGTGGCTCCTCTCACTTGTCTTTCCAAAAAGAGAGATGATGAACCACCAGGAGAGGAAGGCTGTCAGTCTCTACTCCTGGGGGTCACTGCCCAATCCCCCAGGCCCATCTCTGGGCCTTTCCTCCTGGCAGTCTGGGTCCTGCCTCAGAACTTCACTAAAAACTCCTCATTTTCATTTGTGAAGTGTTTTAAGGTGACACAGCGCCTTCACACATTTAAAAAGTGCTGTGAGACCAACAAAATGGACATTCTCATTCCAGTTCTATAGATAGGACTCTGAGAGGTTGAATTGGAAAAGGGCATGGTCCATCTGAGGTTCCCACTTGGGTTGTCATCCCCCACTTTAGAACTGGAGAGATACCGAACACAAAGGTCATCATGCCAACCTTCCAGATCCTTTTTTGTTTTTATTGAGGTGAAATTTACATGGCATATAATTATTTTTTAAAACTAATAACTCAATTACTTTAGTGCATTCACAGTGTTGTAGGATCACCACGGCCGTTTTCAGTGTTCTTCCTTGGGTTTTGTGCCGACTAAAAGGGAGAATGTGTATGGAGCATTCAAGCTCTGGCCTTGTCCTAGGCTGACTGATAAATGGTCTGCATTTTCAGACTCAGTCTAGATTTCTCTCAGACACCTGCTAATGTAGAGCTAGGAATTATTGCCTAAAATTAGCACCTTGAGAAAATCAGGTGGAAGGGACATGACACAAGAGTGTTCTATTTTTTTTTTCCTCTAAAATGGTATGCTCTCTTCCAGGGAAACTTCCAGAGCAACCTCTTACAGTCTCTCAAGCAGCCAGATACATCTACAAGTAATCAGCTGCATGTTGTCATGTGTTACTTTTGTTCTTTTGAAGGAGTTTGTCCTCTTAGCCAGGCTGTGACATGCACAGCCCAGGAAGCATCACAATGCTCTTATTGTCCTGGGCACAGAGTAGTACAGGTGTGAGCACACACCTATGTGTTGAGTTGAATAGAACAATGACCAGCCAGCTCTAGATTCCAGCCACTGCTGGATGACCAGTGTTTTCTCTCTCTTTGAAACTGTGTTTGGTGGCTGAGGGCATGTTTCCCATAATCCTGAGATGAAGCTAGAATGGGCCAGTCTGGGCCCTGGTCTTGCCTCCCAGGCAACTGTGCCTGAGACAAGACCCAAGCAACTTTGCTCTCATACTTGTGCCCTCAACAGATGAAGGGTAAGAGCTAGGAGCAAGCTAAGCTAAGAACAGAACCGCTTTTCAACAAAGGCTCTGCCCTTTCTTGAAATTTGCCAATTCTAGGAGCATAAAGCTGGAAGCAGGGCAGTTCTCAAGAAGTTGTGACTGTCCCTTTGGCTTCTGAGAGCACCAGGCTTAGAAGCAAGGCTGGCCGTGGTGGCTAGGGCTGCTGCAGTCAAGGATTTGGTGAGGAGTGTGGCTGGGAATTTGGAGGAGGATCCCCTTAGGGTCCTAGAACCTCATAGTATTCAGATTTTCAGGAACATCCTTCCGGCGGCCTTTCACATTTCTCCACAGTATCATTCCAAGGACACCAGCTATGAGGCCACCTATTGCTGCCACCAGCACTTTCCAATAGGACACTTCAGCAGCCTGTTCTGGGAGAAGCTGACTATTCCGAAGGGTGTAGAGGAAGGGACTTTCCTAGGAGAGGAGGCAGGAGGGTCAGAAATTTAGGGGCTCCATCCATCTGGCCAAGTCTCCATCCCTGAGAAAGTGCAATAACCTCACACATCTTCCTAGCATGTCCCTCTAGTAAATCTCCTTCATTCACATTATTCCTGAACCTTCCATCTAAGGATGGGTCTGTCAAATGACTATAACCTCCCTTTGGTTTCTCACCAGCACCTACTTTCCTATCAAATCTGATTTTGAATATAGAATTAGCACAGCTGTGTGGAGCTCTACACTAGTAGTTATGTATACTTGAGCATGGAGGTGGGATATCTTCTCATTGCCCAGTAGGGAGATGTACAGAGACAACCATATCATAAAGGAGAAGGGGTACAAATTGAAGATCAACATGGGTAAGAGAAGATATAACAGAAATCCAGGGACTGAGGGATCTTCTGGGCTCAGAAGGAGGGAAATACTTTCACAGGCAAAATTAGGGGTGAGGAGAAGTAAAAAACACATACATGAGCAATAGTGGGGCTCATCTGGAAGTGGATCCATTTGCCAGAAGTGTGGAGTGTGTAATAATGGGAGGTGGGTCTCCCCTATGGGCAGTGGGGACCAAACAAGAATCTCAACAACCTTGACAAGACTGGAGCTACTTTTCAGGAAGGCCATTCCATGTCTAGGAACAAGTGGAGGATGGTGAATGAGCAGAAGAGAGCTGAAGGGACAGATTAGCCATCTGGTCAGTAGTCTAAGAAAAGAAAGAAAGCAGCACAGATCTCAGGAACAGACACTGTCTTATTGTTTGTCACGTCCCAACCCTGAGCTCCTAGGATAGTGCCTGAAATAGGAGGACTCCTTGGGTGCATGGTGCTCAGATCCTTCAGAAGTAATGAGTGGTTTAGGACACCTGGCCAGTGCTCCCTAGCTTGCTTCCCTGAGTGATGCTTTTGTCATTGGCGCTATTGACTCCTCCCTCCCCTACTCTGTAGCACTCAGAAGAGAAAGTTGGAAGTGATGTAGTGAGTGACAGTGTGCTTAAGTCCCACCCCTCAGGCATCTGCTCCACTCATGACAGAAGACTGGTGTTCACTCACCGAGGAGGGGCACTTGAGTTTGCTTCGGCTGTAGGTGAAGTTATTGGAAGTTGTCTTATGGCCCACTGGTTCCAGCTGGAGAGACAAAAAGGACACCTTAATTGTATTGAAAACTGGGATCTGCTTCCCTGCCAGAGCAGCTGGCTCACATAAGTTGCCCTCTCTTTGAAGAATGGGTTGAAACCAGCAATTTGGTAAGAGCAGAGGCTAGCAGTCCTGGCCAAAATTGGAACCGATTTTTGACCCACAGGATATAAGTCTGAGTTGATGCCCCCAAATTTACTCAGGAAGATACCTAGATACCAGGAAAGAATGGCCAGTCTGGAGTCCATAATGAATCTCTTGAAGGGCTGGGACTGGAACACCCATTGCCTCTCCCTTCGTGGGTGGCTGTGATTATAGACACTGAATTTTCAATTTTATAAAATGGTGCTCATCATATTTACCAACTTGTCCAAATGTGTGGGGCTAGTCAATTTCAGGAAAACTTTGAAAGCATATTGGTTACCATGACATCCTTACTACAGTTGGCTTGTCAACCTTAACAAACTGGAATTTCTTACTTGAGCTGCTTTCTGGGTTGTCACACAGATGAAAACATTTACTTGAAATATCCCAGGGAGCATCTGTGGTTCGGTGGGGTCCTGCTGAATGCTTCCATACCAGGACCCCATGAGACCCAGCAGGAGTCTGCTGCAGCCCCTCCCAGGGTCTTAGGTTAGTAGCCTGTCCTGGCCATGTGGCCCCAAGGAGATCACACCTGGCTCTTCCACCTCGTCTCTCTCCTGAACATCTGGCCTCCATTGTATAATCTGCCTTCTGCCTGTTCCTGGTCAGCAGGGCTTGCCTGTGCAGGAAGTGCAATATTCTATCCATGCTGGTGACCACACCAGATCCATGATCTCATTGTCTGCTGTCTTAATACCTTCCATATCCATTCCTTAGGAACACAGTTAGAGGAAGGAGGGTGGCTCTGCCCTGGGAGAGATGCAGTGAGCCCAGTGGGCAGATGGCTGGGTCCTGGTTTAGTTGACAATGGCCATGCAGTGTCAAGCAGGCCACTTACCTTCCCCAAGTTGCAGAAGGGCTGGTGTTAAATGCTGTCCTAAAAATGTCATTACAGTTGTCTTAGGACATCCAGTAGAATGATGATTTGGAAGCGTGAGCTGGTGGTAGGTTATGGGTACATTTCTACTTTTTTATATTAATAATTTTATGTGTATGAGTGTTTTGCTTGCATGTATGTAAGTGCACCTGTCTACAGTGCCTATGACGGCTAGAAAAGGGTGTTGGATTCCCTGGAACTGGAGTTATAGATGGTTATAAGTTGCCATGTGGGTGCTGGGAACCAAATTCCCTCTCTCTAGGAGCTCTCAGTTAACCCCATGGTTTTGGATGCTACATTCATGTTAATAATGTCACTTTTTTTGTTGTGGTTGTTAAATCTTATGCAGACTTTCTGTTTGAGCACAAGTGTCTTATATTTAGCAGCTTACCCAGTGCCTCTTGTGGATATGTAGAAACAAGTCCCATTTCTCATTCCCCAAACAGTCCTTGATTTCCAAGTAGATGTCTCTTTTTTTTAAAAAAATTAAAGTGTATTTATTGTGTGGGCATGCACACATGTGCAGGTGCCATGGTATGCATGTAGAGGTCAGGGGGTCAACTTGCAGAAGTCCTCTCCTTCCATTATGTAGGATCAAACTCAGGCTGTCAAGTGCCTTTACCTATTGAGCCATCTCATCTGGCCCCCAGATGGTCCCTTAATAGTCAGCCATCCGCTCAGTTTCTTAAACCAGAAAGCAAGAAACTATTGTTACTTCCCCTCAGCCAGTTATAAACGCATTCTCATCCACGCATTCTCATCCACATCTCTCCTCCAATGTTATCACCTGGTCCTAGCCACATTATTCCCTTGCCTGGACATCAGGAGGCTCCTACTGTCTTTGTAGCTTTGATTCTGGTTCATATCTGCACAGCGGCCAGAGGGTAAATGAGAACACGTCAGTCCCCCTGTTTAAAATCACCTGAGGATGTGGCCCTTGCCTGCCTTTCTCATCCTGTTCACTTACCTCCCAAACATCCCCACTGGCTTGTTTGTTCCTCAGATGCTTCATTCCTGACTCCAGGCCACATGGGTCCTATTTCCTGTCCTTGGAACACTGTGGCCCAGACCTTTGCCTCCCTGGCAACCTCTTGACATTTAGTTCACATGCCATCAGTAGGCTTCCTTCGTCCTCACCACTACCCTATGCCCCACCCCCTGGCTTTACTTCTTTTAAAGTCCCAGATATGATCAGACATTACCTGTTGACCTGTCTAACTTGCTTTTTAACTGTCTTTTCCCAGCTATACTATTCACACTCCATGAAAGCAGGGGTGTCCTTTTCTCTGCTAAATTTCTACCACAAAACAGTACTGGATAAATAGTTGTTGGATGAATGGATGGAGACATGGAAGTCACCAGGACCTGAATGGAAAGCTAAGGAGGAAAAGGCTTGGCATAGCTACAGAAGTGCAATTGTTTTCCTAGAACCAACCCTTCCTAAGGCTGACCTTGTGGGTACCAATGATGCAGTCAATCATAGGACTGGGCAAGGTATAATGAGGTTAGCAGCCAACCACAGCACAAGCTGTAATAGGGCTGGCAGCCAATTACAGGTCTGGGCAAGGTACAATGGATCTGACAGTGGTTGGCCTGGTCTGGAGATTCAGAGGAGGTACTTGTGGAACTGGCCTTTGAGTTAAGTGTTTAGGGGTTAGGAAAGGAGGTAAGAAGGAAAACCCAAGTTAGAGGGATGAGCAAGTACCAACACACAGTATAAAACTGCATGGTGGTGAAGTTGCCAGACTGTAGTATAGAGACAGAGGCTTAGGGGGATGGGGGCCAGAGAGGTGAATCTGGGCCAAGTCCCAGAAACTTTGTGTGCTATTAAAGAGCCTGGCCTTGCTGAGCGTGGTGGCATACACCTTTAATCCCAGGACTTGGGAGGTAGAGACAGGTGGATCTCTGTGAGTTTGAGGCCAGCCTGATCTATATAACAAGTTCCTGGCCAGCCAGGGCTATATAGTGAGACCCTGTCTCAAGAAACCTAAAAAATAAAAAAGAGCCTGGCCTACCTCCTTCTAAAAGGAGGTGGGAGCATTGGAAGTTTGAAGGCAGGGACTCAGGTTCTCTTTGGCACAGATTATTTATGCAGCTGCCCTGTAGAGAACAGAGGTCTAGGGCAGTGGTTCATAAGCCCTCTGTGTTAAAATCACCTTGGGAGTTCTTTTGAAAAGTGCTAAGTTGCTGGGTATGGTAGGGAATGCCTTTAATCTTAGCACTCAGGAGACAGAGGTAGGCAGATCTCTGTGAGTTCAAGGCTAGCCTGGTCTACAAGTTCTAAGCCAGTCAGAGCTAGATCCTGTCTCAAAAAAATAAAAAAAGGTTAAGTCTAGGATCCACTCAGACCAACTAAGCTAGATTCTTTGGGGGATAAGCCAAGTCAAGCATTGATATATATTTAAAATTTTTTAATTATGTGTTTGCATGTGTGGATATGTACACATGAGTACCAGCACCCTCAGAGGCCAGGAAAGGATGTTAGGTCCCCTGGAGCTGGAATTACAAGCAGTTATGAGCCACACAATGTAGGTGATGGGAATGAACTCAGGTCCAATGCAACAGTAGTACGTGCTCTTATACTAGATGACAAGATATCTTCAGCCCCGTTGCTGCATTTTTTAAGGACTATGGAAGCTAACACACACAGGGAAACAAATTCAAATCAAATGAGCAGCTTATCCATTTTGGTAAAGAGAGCAACTGGATAATCAGGAACCAGATTTCAGAAACCCCTGACCCCACCTTCCCTTCATCCTATACACTGAGACCACCATGCTGACTTCTAATGCCTTACAGTAAGCTGCTTGCCTTGTTTTTAGTGTGTGTGTGTCTATTTGCCATGGAAATGTGCTTCCTCTCCTTGTGTGACATGCTCCACAGTTTGCTGGTGGACATTTGTAGAGTTACTGGTTTGGGGTTATGATGAATTGTATTCTATTATGTTTCTTTTTGATAGACACTTGTATATTTTTCTATTGAGACAGGGTCTCCTTATAGCCCCAGCTGGCCTGTATGTAGACCAGGCTGGCCTTGACTGCACAGAGATCTGTTTGCCTCTGTCTCCTGAGTGCTGGTGCTAAAGGCATGTACCATCATGCCCAGCCACTTATGAACTTTTCTCTTGGGAATACACTCAGGAGTGGAATTGTTGGGCCTCAGAAAATACACAGGTTCAACATTATTAGATATGTCAGGACTTTCCAAAGTGGTTGTAGACATTGTTTTTAGTGTCTCCAGAGGATTCTCATATGCAGCCAGAGCTGAGAACCCCTGTGTTAGGGGCTGTGAGTCTGGAGACAGGGATCAAATTAAGATTTACGATCGACATAGGGTTTATAGAGAAGGGGTATCATGTAGCAGAGGAGGAACAGGCCTCAGAAGCGGGAGGAACTGCTCTTTATACAATAAGAGAAGGTGAAGGAAGAGGAAGACATCCCCTAGTGCTGCTGTCTCTGTCTTGGCCTCTGCACAGGTCTCTAGAGGAAGAGGTGTGATCTATTAAGAGAGAGGCTAGAGGTGCAGCGATTTAAAGGGCATTTGTTGGCCTAGTAGGGTACCCTGGGAACATCAGCCAAAGCCTGCAGACAGTATGTCATAGGACTCATTTCGAGACGTGAATTCACTGGCTGTATATGTGCTTATCAGGATGGAAGTAGGAGGAGGGAAGTTGGTGTAATGGCTGGGGCACCAGGGGAAGATGTGGACTTTTGTTTCAGTTGTGCCACTAACCAGCTGTGTGAGACTGGGCAAACTGTTTCATGCCTCTGGATTTTAGGACAGAATGTTCTGGCCAGATGATCTCTCAGATCTATTCCAGCTCTAGCAGCCGTTTATTTATTTGATGTGACGGGGTGGAATTCCAGGAAGATGATGATTGGAGAAGTTAGCACAATGCTATAGCTGTATGCCTGAGATAGTTTGGGATGAAAACATGGGACGCTGTAATTATTCCCCCAAATTATATAGAACAAAAAGCTCTGGGATGATTTTAGTTGTGTTTTGCTTTATTTTTGTTGTTTTTAAATTTGGGGTATAGCAGAGATAATAACAGCTGGGGAACCATGGGCAGTCTCTTGTTTATCTTTTGTTTTCATATCTAAACCCCTTCTTCCTACCTTTATGGATTAAAGCTTCTCACCTATGTGAATGGAAAGAATACTGAGCAGTTTTGGAAAGAAGGCCAGAGCCATACTGTCAATTCACTTGGGAGAGATCAATTGACTCAGTCATGTTTGAGTGTCAATATAGCCATCAAGCCTCAGGAGACCCTGGAGGGTCCCAGCTTTAAGCAGGTTTGGCTGTCACCCAGGTAGGAAGGCCCCACTCTGACAGAAAATGTGGGAAGGAAAGATCAAGCGCTTCTTGGAATATGTGGATTCTTTTAAGATCTTGGGGGAAGAAATAAGATGGGAAGTAGATACTCCTTCTCTGGGTGGGGGTGTTAAAAGGAGCAAAGTTATTTGACTTAATCACTGAAGGACAACTGGCCTTCAAAACAAAATCTTCATAAGAAACATAACTGAGCTCAAGACTTATGCTGTACAAACTTCGCTTTTAAAAAATTACGGTACAAATGCCAGGCCTGATGGCATAGGCCTGTCATTCTAGTTACTTGGTGTAGGTTAAGGCAGGAACATCAAAAGTTTAAGGCCTGTCTCAAAATAAAAAGTAAAGGCCCAGTGTGGTGGTACACATCTTTAATCCCAGCACACAGGATGCAGAAGCAGGCAGATCCCTGTGAGTTCAAGACCAGCCTGGTCTACATATCAAGTTCCAGGCCAATGAGGATACAGGGAGACCTTGTCTCAAAATAACTAAGTATAAATAAATTTATAAAAAGTTAAAGAGTGCTAGGATATAGCTCAGTGGTAGAGAGCTTGCCTAGTATGTGTGATGCCCTAAGGTTCAATACCCAATACATAAAACAACAAAACACATAAACACATGCTGTGCAAGTCAGATCCACCGATATTTTGGTACTTGGGAGGCAGGATTGACAGTGTAGGCTAGCTTGGGTTATAAAAGACCAAGAAAATCAAGATAAACTGAGGGGTTGGGTGGGTGGAAGGAAACTCAAAGATGTTTTGATAGCAATTTGGAATCCTGGGTTGAAAGAATATAATGGAAAGTTTTGGAATTGGGCAGACAGATGATGTCAATGGGAGGAAAATCCCAAGACAACAAGTGGAAGAAAGCTGAGTCTGCAAGTAAATAGGCTTACATGCTTCTCTGTAAAGAAGTGGTTGCTAGGAAGGAAGAGGTGACGTAGCTAAGGAGAAAGTCAATATTGTGAGTCAGCTGAGGAAGACCCTGGACAGCTTGGAGTTGCTGGCAGATGTGGGAATATTTGCATAGCAGCGGTGGGCTTGAAACTGCAGGAAAGAGAGCAGGGGTTTAGATTGTTCAGTCACCACGGGAAGCATGTGGGCCAGATGGGTATTGGGTTACACACAGAGCCTAGATCAAAGACATGGAAGGTGTTTTCATTTGCTCGGAGCAAGAAAATGCAGGTATCAAGGGTGTGTGTGTGTGTGCGTGTGTGTTAGACACAGCAAACACAGCTAGCTAATCAGTCAGAAGTGAGTGGCCAGCTGTAAGGGCAGAGGTAAGGCACAGGGCCAGATGCTCATTTCAGAAGGCCTACTCCCTCTCCATTGGAAAAGCCTGTAATAGGTTTCTACCTGGGAGAACAGCTGTATGGATCTTGCTCTTTTGATGTCTATAGCAATATTAGTTGGAGATGTTGAGACTGGATGCTGGAGGGGTAATGGGGTTGATGTTTGTTAAAACTAATGATTGTGCTGACTCTGTATACTTTAAATTTTTGTGTCATTTTCACTGTTTCTTAGATGTTGATACAGATGGCCAGGGAGAGTGCTTGCCCAAGGTCATACATCTGGTGCACTCTCATTCAGTTTGTCTGATTGTGAAGCTATTCTCTCAGCAACACCAGGAACTATAATGGTATGAATACATACATACACACACACACACACACACACACACACACCCTTTAAAAAGGTATGTCAACATGTTATGTATGTGTGGGGAGATGACTTAGTGGATAAAGGTGCTTGCAGCTAAGCCTGATGACCTGAGTTCAATCCCTAGAACCCACATGATGGAGAGAACCAACTCCCACAAGTTGTCTTCTGACCTTCACATTTGTACTGTGGTATGCACACACACATACAATAAATAAATGTAGTATCTTTAAAATTAGAAAAAAAAATTGATTTATTTTATGCACGTGAATATTTTACCTGCATGTTTGTAAGTGCACCCATGTCATGCAATACCTGTGGAAGGCCAGAAGAGGGCATCAGATCCCCTGGAACTGGAGTTACTGATGGTTGCTAGCTGCCATATGGGTGCTGGGAACTGAACCTGGGTCCTCTGCAAGAGCAGCCAGGGTCTTAACCACTGAGCCATCTCTCTAGCCCCCTTTAATTTTTTTTTTAAAATCAGGGGTGGAGTAGAGTGGTAAGATAGCTCAGTGAGTAAAAGCAGTTGCCATGTAAAATTGATGACTTGAGTCTAATCTCTGGAACCCACAGTGGAAAGAGAGAATCAGCACCCACAAGCTGTCCTCTGACCTGCACATACACATTGTGGCATATGTTTATACACAATGGTAAAATAAAAAATTTTAAAATTACATCAGGGCTAGGAGATGGCTCTAAAGGTAAGGGCTTGCTGCTTAAACATGAGGATCCAAGTTCAAATCCAAGAACCCACATAAGAATCCAGGCGTGGTTATGAGCACCTGTAACCTCAGCACTGTGGGGAATAGGCAAAGAGTGAGAGAGCAGGATAGCCAATGTCCTTCTCTGGCTTCTGTGCACCTCTTTCTCTCTCCCCCCCTCCCCCTCTCTCTCAATTAAAAGAATACACCAGGATGAATAAGGTGAGCTTTAGGGAGAAAACAGCCATATCAGTGGTTTGTCATTGTGGGGCTGAGCCAGTATCCTTGGGTTGCTCCCTCAGTCACTCACCATGTTGTTCCAGAGGGCAATGGCCATCTCAGCATGCCCGCGTTCTGAGAAGTGAAAACAGTCTTCGGAAAAGAAGGCGAGGTCCATGCCCCCTCGCTGTGATCAGAGGCAAAGAGGTTACCATCTGCACACAGCTGCCGGCCCGGCTCCCCTCCCAGCTGGTGACCTGGCATTTCTCCTCTCATTTTTTCAACTCTGCCTCCAACTGCATCAGACACTGAGGAAATGTCTCCCAGGTTTCAGATTTGTTTTTAGCAGACGTGAATTATAGCTGCCCCAGTTCATCCCTTTTCTTTAGCGTCCCTGTCCTGACAATCGAAAAATATAATTTCAGGACAATTTTCATTTTGAGGCTGGAGGCTCTGGAGGTAGGATGGGATTGGTCACTATTGATTGTGTCTTTTTTTTTTTTTTCTACTAAGAATGTCTAATTCTAATCACACCAAAGAAAGGTAGAAAAATCCACTTTTAAGAGCCCTCCTAGAGATACCTGGCAAAAATAAAGGCTCCACTCATAAGCCTCCCAGAAATATCTGCAGCTTACCTCGTTTAGTGGGACAAGAGTGTTCTGGAAGAAAGGCTGTACAACAACCGCAAAGTCCTCACGCTGTGTGTATCGGCGCCAGTAGAACGTGGAGATGCCACTCTGGGGATGGAGAAGCTGCTCAGCCCGGCTGGCAAGGCTAGATAGACAGAGTCTACTTCGGCTGCCATGGGTTGGTTGCAACAGCAATGGATTCAACCCAGACAAAAGTGACTTTGTGACCCATGGTATGTATTCATTCTCTTTTAATGAATGCCTGCATCTCAAGGCCCTGTGCTGACTGTCAAAATCAGAGCCCAGGGGCTCTGACTATGGATCTCTAGCCTCCTAGCCCCGTGGGTTTTATCCTGAGAGGCTATTTCTAAGCTGTTGATCATATTGCCTTGGCCACAAGTCTGGCTGCCCTCACCATATGGGGGCAGCCCTCACCTAACTCATGTTGGGAATATCTCAGCACCAAAATGCCTGAACTTAGGAGGGAAGGGGGAGAAAGCACATGGTCATTGGACTTAAGTACCAAAATAATAGGATGCAAATGGATTAGACTAGAAATATGCATCCTAAATACTTCATTATTCAGCTGGTGAAGAGGCAAGAAGGGAAAACCAGAGATGTTGTGAAGGTCCATCAGGTACAGAGTTAACCTAATATGAGAGGTTTCTGAGGTGAAGTGGTCAGGGAGAAGCTTCTCATAGGAGGATTAAGACTTGCCTGGTGAACAGGGATTAGTTTGCAGTAAGGCTCAGGTAGGCATGTCCAGAGAGGGAACAATGGTAGCAGAGGTGGGCAGAGTGTTGAAGGGGTAGACAGAGGGTGAGAGGAAGTGGGAGGTTGTAGGGTGAGGCTAAGTCTTCCGTTCTTAGAGAAGGGAAAGTGAATGGAAGTGAAGAGGTAGAGCCAGGAACAGTAACCATTCCCCACACCCCTCATAAAATTGTGGCTCATAGCACAGGCTACAGGTGAGTGGTAGACTCTACTACTTGGAGGCTACTCTGAAGGTGATGTTGCATTTGCTTAGGGTTGACCCAGGGCCAGGAGACAGTATATCTCCAAACTAACCCCTTGGAGAATCTTTCTCTCCTCTTTCCCTGGCCCTGGGTATCCAATTTGCCTGGATAAATACTTTCAGGGTTAGGTCCTGCCTATGTTTTTTATTTTTATTATTTGTATTTTTGAGACAGGGTCTCCTTGTAGCCCCAGCTGTCCTGGAACTTACTATGTAGGCCAGGCTGGCCTCGAACTCACAAAGATCTGCCTGCCTCTGCCTCCCAAGTGCTGGGATTAAAGGCGTGCGCCACCACTCCTGGCATATTTTTTATTTTATGTATATGTGTGTGTGCCTGAGTGTATAAATGTGCACCATGTGCATTCAGGAGCCCATAGAAGTCAGAAGAGGGCTTTGGATCCCCTGGAACTAGAAATATACAACTCACTGGCTGTAAGCTGCCGTGTGAGTGCTGGGAATTGAACCTGGGTCCTCTGAAAGAGTAGTAAGCATTCTTGGCTGCTAAGCTATCTCTCTAGTCCACTAGGATCTGCCTTTTAGGGAATCACTTGCTCTTAGCCAACTTCTGGTGACCATACAAGTTGTGAGTCCTCATTCAGGGAGCACAGGGGGAGCTCCCAGTGGGGGACAGGAGGAAGAGGGCTTCAAGGCTCACCTGGAGGTTCCAGTTCACTTTCTTCAGCTCCTGTATCACCAGGGAATTTTCAGAGCGTTTAAGGCAGCTGCAGTTGCTTCTATTAGACAAGAAATCTGTGTTACGCTTCCTTGAGCTCTGTTTTCCTGACACATAGGGGAAGTTTCTACCTACAACCTGTGCGTTGCTTAATAGGGATGTGGAATGGAGGGGGCAATGACACACAAGCAACGGTACAACACAAGCTTAGCTGACTCTTGGGCTCATGTAACACAGGAATGAGGTCAAGAAGGTGTTCTGTGGTTTTGAAGTTTCCTAAAATCTCAAGAGTTTAAGGCTTGGTCCCCAGTTGATGGCACCATTAAGCAGTGATAGAGCCTTTAGGAGGTTGAACCCACTTGAAGGAAGTAGTCACCAGGGGCATGCCCCTTCTTTACCCCACCCACTTTGCTTCCTTGTCTCCATGACGCTAGCAGCTTTGTTCCACCACAGATCCAAAGCAAAGGGGCCCAAAGACCATGCACTAAAACCTCTGAAACCATGACTCCACATAATCCTATTCTCATAAATTATTTTGTCACTGTAGTGGATCGCCACAGGGTACTTGTTTATAGTTGGCCCCAAGGCAGGCTCTCCTTCCTGCACAGGCTGCCTGTTCTTCTGATGACTATATCCCAACTACCAGAGAGGGACTGAGCAGAGAAGGGTAGTATTTTGGGAAGACTGCTATGATGGCTCTGTCTTGGGGAATGACTCATTCCCTACAGACATGAAGCCTCTCAGCTGAACCACTGAGTACTTAGGAGTTTCCTCAGGGTCCAGTGTGGGAAGGCTACTGGAAGGCTTAAAATACCTTTGAGAAGGTGGAATGCAATACCAGAGACTGCAGAAACGGACTGGGGCTCTCCTTACCACTTATGGCCGTTCCACCTGGGGGCCTGATTCCTTAGCTATCTTTTTTTTTTTTATTATTTTTATTTTATGTGTATGCGTGTATTGCCTGCATGTAGGTAAGTGCACCCATGTAGTGCAATGCCCACGGTAATCAGAAGAGGCCGTGATTTCCTGG